ATTTTTCTTTTCTTTAATATTTTTTTCCGTATTTTCTTTTATTTTCTGTGTTTTTGTTTTTTTAAGAAAACACACAAAACTCAACTTTGGTATTGAAATCAGGATTTAACTTGAGAGTAGACGCTGTCCTCAGCAAAGTCTCTCTTCCTTGTGCTTCTCGATTTTCTTTCACTGAAGTTCAGTGCAACATAGCTTACATGGCCATCAGTTTCAACCTGTGTAATAAAGATATGCAATAATAACAACCAGTTAAAATAATAATAATGAGCTTTTCAGTCATATTTTAATTGAATAACAAGCATTTTCATTACTTACTGGTTGGTGTGAGGTGTCAATTTGGTCTTCCGATATAGCATTTTCTATTCATAAAGATGAATTCAATTATTATGACAAATACAAAATAGTAAAATGCATTTGATGTGGCAACTATTTCAAAATGTATTGCCTAACATATAAATATATAACACAAAACATTTTTATATGTATTCATATTCATATTTAAACAATGGAAATGCTGCTTGAATAGCAGGACAATCTTAGCTTTGGAAATCATTATACAACACTTACCTTTATTTTGTATTCTTTGGTTGCAGATGAGGAAAACATTTCCAGTGACAGAAATGACCAAACACACTGTTATTAAGGCCAGGTGAATAAATGCCGACTGTGTTTTGTGCACTACAAAACAAACAACCAGAAAGATATATCACATTTTCCAAAAAAAGTCACTCATATGCTGCCAACATACCTTGAGTATAACTTAGTATCATACCAGCTTTCAGATCGGTTCCATTTCCAAATAATATCTCCCCACATGTGGCCACAGCACAATAGTAAGTCCCTTCATCAGAGGAGCTGACGTTCTTAGAGAAGCGATAAACACATTTATTCTGAAGGTCAGATGGTTTCTTTCTGCCAGCGTAGATGATGCCAGGATGAGATTTATCTGAACCAGCTCTGAACCAGAACACATCACGATCCCGTGCATATGTGTTGTTGTCAGAGTCAGAGAAAACTGAACACTGGAGAGCTGCTGTGTCTGCTGGATCGACTGGATCTGATACAGCTGGCCACTGAACGACAGTATAGTTTGATGTCCTCTGAGTGTTTCCTGTTTAATAAAAAATATAAAGACAATCGTCAAAACATGCTCCAACACACTAATACATTTTTTGAAAGTATGCCAGTTTATTACCTTTTACTAACAAATATGTCCCACTCCATTCAGGATTAAGCCATTCAATGATCCCACAGTGATAGATTCCTTCATCCTCTTGGACTGTCTTCAAAATGGTCAGATTGCTAAATGTTTTTGTATTACATGCGTCATATCTTGATCTAAATATTTCTTGACCATACTGAGGTGGTATAGTTCCATACAGTGTTGAAATCAGTTTGAGCTCATCCCCGATACTCTGCTTGTACCAGTGGACTTCCAGAGTGCTGAGCTCTTTGTTGCTGGGTAAAGCACATGTTAACGTTGCTGGTTCACCAAGCTGAACGATTTTCATTGGAACCAGAGAATCTGAATTAAGAGAATACAGAAAAAAAATGATGTTCAAATGTTCAAATGCAAAATAATTCATTTTATTTTCGACACATTTTTTCTATTTGACATAATTTATCTTCATAGAATAGTTGTGGAGAAAATTAAAGAGCACTTACATCCTTGATGAAGAAAGAGCAAAGTAATCCACAGCACCATCATCATGACACTGCTCGTTGTTGAGAACATGGTCTTTCAGTGAGTGAAGGAGGCAAGATGATCGTGTTAGGTAAGGCTGTACAATGATTCTGATTGGTTAACACATATAGATTCAAAAGTACCCTTGATGTCACACTGGTCCCCTCCTGGCCTCTGTAAAACATTTCACCTCTCTTTGATATTCTGTTGTAATTATCCATTTGGTTACTTTTTACTTCTCTCTTGGTGG